AATAATTAAAAAGCTTCATGATCCTTGTGACGCTGCTTTGATTTCATCATTGTACTTTTATATATGCGTAAAAGCGAAAACGCGCACGCCATATTTACATTAAGTTTGAAAACAACTGAATAAACTGAATGAGTTGTGTTGATTTGCTTTTAGCACAAATAGCATGAAAATAACGAACGACCATTCTCTAAGCGATCTGTTGAGGTCAATATTCAGAACCTAGCATCTGCGAAATTCACGTGTTTTTGTGTTATGAAATAACGTGGATGCTAAAAATCCACTTGTTGATACGTAATTAGTGTAACAAAATTAAAGAATTTGCTGAGATATCAGTCCTTTAATGAAACAGCAGTAATATAAAGATTACGTATTAATATATTTGATATTTAAATATCCTGTAATCAAAATAAAAGATATGGATAACTTATTTTGTAACAACAAAAATTATTTGTGTAGATGTATTCTTATCTCTGTAAACAATTCATATTTAGTGTTTTGATCTCGATATGTTTACACTTTAAGTTGTTTTTAATAGTTACTATATCTCAGAACACTTCGGAAATAATCATTAAACTAATATATTGTACAATGTCTAAAGGTAATCTAAAATCTTTGTTTTTAAATCTTTTAACTTAATATTGAGGTAGTATGTATAACTAGGTGATCAAAATTTTTTTCATATTTAGAAGTTTAACTATTGAAGGAAAACTGACGGACCCTTAAAAAATGCTATGGAAATATAATTCTAACTTTATTACCAGTAATTGTTATTAATTATCCAATGTTAATAATTTATCTAAAGTTAATAAATGTTATTAATTATTTATCTGAATTTTTAACTCATCGTCATGAACTACTAGGGAGTTTTTTGTTTGTACTAAGAGGTTTTACACGACCTGTGATCATTCATCTTTGTTTTTCTACTTAAAAGACCCAGACAAAGAATGTTTTGTTGTTGGAACATATAGGGGAGAGTTGGATAAAACGGGATAGTCGGACAAAACGGGATACGTCGCCTAGGGACCAGACTATTGCAGCTATCTAGTGGACAACGACAGAAACGTGTTATTCGACCGTGATTATATCATTCTCGGTGCGTCCCGCCTCGAGATCACTATTTGATAGAAAGTTGTAGGTCTCAGAACTTTTTTATACTATTTTCTTGCCATTTTCTACATTTACGTGCGCTGTTTTTGACATAGTACTGCCTACATATATGGGAATAAAATTCCGGTGAGTATTAAATTTTATTAACCATTTATTTACCAATATTTTTATGTGCAGTCTATCTAATTTTCTTTTCACATTTAGGCAGCAGCCATGTTTGTTTCAAAAAGTGTCGGAGTCGGACAAAACGGGACACGTATGAGTTGGATAAAACGGGATAGAGTTTTGTATGTCCCGTTTTATCCACCTATTTATTTGTTGGATTATTATATTTTAAAATAGTCGTATATTAATGTAGGCCTAGGCTTTTTGAACAACTTATTTATATTAGCAATATATATTTTTGAAAAATTTAGTCTCTTCATGCAAAATTTGTTTATTAACGTTCATTATTAAGCTTTTTATTTTCGACTCTAGGATCTCGCATCTTTCTTTAGAACTAATTGTAATGGATTTCTCTGATGAAGACTAGAGCTTTTTTATATATAAACTTCTTAATTTTCTGAATTGCTCAATTCTACGTTAAATTCTAAAAAGAATTCTTCTCTTTGTTTACTGTAGAATTTAAATACTTGATTATTAAAGAGTCTTTCAGGGATGTTGCGACATCAAGGGAGTAAATTAGAAATAAAAGTGAGTTAGAAATGGAAGGAAAGGAAAGGGTGATTAAACTACAAAAAAGAACCAAGAGAATTGAAGAAAAGGCTGCAAAGAAATCTCTTGATTAAGAGCACAAGGCATATCTCGGCAACGAAAATTGCGAAAATAAGCCTTCATGCTTTAAAACTCATAGTCTTTAAAAACAAATGTAGCATCATATTTTTTGTGTACTTACTTATAAAAGAATAATCTATATAAAAGTGTTAGAACAGTAAAATCCCATGAATATAATTTATGGAAATTTTGCTTTGCAGTTCTCTGTCACTTAATTATGCTTTTCACTTAGTTTTATGCCAAAAATTACACATTGTAAACCCTATTCCGTTTTATCCAACCCAGGTATGCTAAAACGGGATATGTAAGAGTTTGGAAATGAANTATTAATTATTTATCTGAATTTTTAACTCATCGTCATGAACTACTAGGGAGTTTTTTGTTTGTACTAAGAGGTTTTACACGCCCTGTGATCATTCATCTTTGTTTTTCTACTTAAAAGACCCAAACAAAGAATGTTTTGTTGTTGGAACATATAATTATTGTAAAAGCTTTTTCCGAATATATTAATCGTTATTTGGATTTGAAAAGTAATTAGTATTTTTAATGAGCATAATCTTTTTTGACTTCCAAATATGTAAGCATAAACTTCAAAATTTATTTTTTCATACTTTTGCATGTTGGTGAGTAGAATTAGACCATGTCAACCTTCATCTATGAAAAGGTACCACAACATAGAATCGAGTTAACATATCTTATATACTAGGGAATTGGAATTCGAATTTTATATAGTGGTAGATACACTACAGTACTCCCCAACCAGAATTTAATTTGTGGTAGAATTCGATGAGCGGATACCACTAGTTGATTCATTGCTGTTTTATGTGAGAAGCCAGGAGAACTATATTACGACCACCGTACTTTTTGCTGAATGTGAGAGCTGTATTAAGTTCACGGTCGTGGTTGGTGAGTAGAATTCGACCATGTCAACCTTCATCTATGAAAAGGTACCCCAACATAGAATCGAGTTAACATATCTCATATACTAGGGAATTGGAATTCGAATTTTATATAGTGGTAGATACACTACAGTACTCCCCAACCAGAATTTAATTTGTGGTAGAATTCGATGAGCGGATACCACTAGTTGATTCATTGCTGTTTTATGTGAGAAGCAAGGAGAACTATATTACGACCACCGTACTTTTTGCTGAATGTGAGAGCTGTATTAAGTTCACGGTCGTGGTTGGTGAGTAGAATTCGACCATGTCAACCTTCATCTATGAAAAGGTACCCCAACATAGAATCGAGTTAACATATCTTATATACTAGGGAATTGGAATTCGAATTTTATATAGTGGTAGATACACTACAGTACTCCCCAACCAGAATTTAATTTGTGGTAGAATTCGATGAGCGGATACCACTAGTTGATTCATTGCTGTTTTATGTGAGAAGCCAGGAGAACTATATTACGATCACCGTACTTTTTGCTGAATGTGAGAGCTGTATTAAGTTCACGGTCGTGGTTGGTGAGTAGAATTCGACCATGTCAACCTTCATCTATGAAAAGGTACCCCAACATNAATTGTATATGATTAAATAGTATTTTCCATTCAATATATGCCATTTTGTTAAAAATTATTTTTGAAATTAAAAATTGTTGCCATCAACTGCCGTAATTCAATTTATAGATTTATAAACATCTTAATGCAGTTATAACCTCATTTTCTGATTTCATAATTTACTATTCGCGATCGCAACGCTTGAATACGCCATCTGGGGAGAAGATCTGTTCCATGCCTTTGACCCTTCCCTCTCCTCCTCTTTTCAGTTGTATAGGAATGTACTACAATATTTTTCATATTTAATTGTTAAAAATATTTTTTTAAATTTCCATGAATTAAAATTTCTTTTAATACTATCTCCAATGTAGTTATCAGTTCTATATAGTTTCCCTAACTTAATAGTATTTAATCTATTTAAAAATCAAGACGGAAACTAGTGTACTTCCTTCTCCTATGACTCTTCACACACTAATGGTGAAAGTATGGAAAGTGTTGCCATAGGTGGAGAATTCTGCTGTGTGCCACTTCTAACCCAATTCGATTGCCAATAATGTCTTTCAGTTAGTTGCCAATGAGCAAATTTCCTGCTATTTATTGCTGACTTCTTGTTAATATACCTTTTATTAATCCACTTGTAATAAAATATTTTTGAATTATATGCTATATTTAAAATAGCTGTTTAAAATAAACTGAAAATGGCCTCGAATTAAATACAATTACAGAACAGTGGATTGTGGTTATAGTAGGTAATAAGAAAATATTAAATGATTATGCTATTAAGTAATTTTTAGGGAGGATTAAATATTCTCTACCAGATTAATATTAGTTTATAAATACAATTATAGTATACAATTTCTCATTCTGCTGCTCTGTGGAAACTTTATTAGATTATATGGGAGGATTTGATTACGGTGACATTACTGCGGTTCGTAAAATATGTGTATTGATATTATATGGCGAAGAAGCATTACACATTTTTTTAATAAAGTAAATTCCTAGTTTGATGTTATGCATGCAAATGTCAATAATTTTTATATTTTTTGTACTGATATTGAATTTTTCTTTAATAAAAGGAGTTTTCGGATTATCTGTGTTTTTCGTCAGTCCGTGCGACCTGTCCCGGTGATTAACCCGGATAATCCGGAGTGCACTTTACATACTGATACAAAAAATTTCTCATTAGCCACATAATGGAATAATTATTTGCAAAAACCCAACCCTGATTTAAAATGTAGAAAAAGTGAGTTCAGACAGACCTATAGTAAGCCATGAAGTTTCAAATACAGAAAAGAAAATTTTAAAATATGCAAATGAAAATAATTTATAAGAAGATAACTTAGGATTACACCCCATTGAACTTCTCTTCTAATAATTTGTTTGCATTTTAGTATTTTGAAGTATTTTTTTCAGCAACTTAAACTTCATGATTTACTCTAGGTATGCCTGAACTTTTCCTTTCTTGTAAATTTTAAATTAGTAATGAAGGAGAAAGAGAATTTGCGACGAAGGCTGACATTTTCTGTCGCAGCATGGCGTCTTCTTAAGTGTTGATATTAAATTTTTTATTTGTGTTTCCTTCCATAATAGTAACACATTTTAATTGCTTTTAAGGAAATATGAATTCATCTCTACTGTGGTCTGTGGATGACTTAGACCTCTTAGCTTCAGATTTGGATTCTAGTCTAACGGGCCTGGGTGGTCCTGTCAGTTCAACTTTTGACATGAGGTAAATCCCCTGCAGCAGAATTTTTTTTCAGCTGTCTCCAAAGTAAGTTTGATTCGTAGAAATAGTCAGCAGGAATTTGAAATAAAATCTTCTTACAACAAGGTTTAAAATAACATTAAAATATAATACAGTGGAACCCTGATTTTCTGGCTTCCTGCCTCACTTTTTTCTGGTCGGAGAAAATTGCTTATGTACCAATATTTTATAACATTTGTTAAACAGACAACGTAATTTTAGGTTCACGATTACTAATGTTCAACTCAGATTTAATAAAATAGATTTCTATTTAAATAATTTCAGTTTAATTGTCAAATTCTACATTGTTCAAGTCTCCTCTAGAATTTCAAAGATTGATTTGTTGCTTTTGGAGTTCAACTAATCAGACAACGTTGAAAGGTGATATTTCTGAAAGGTTAATATATTTTATCTTCTCCTTCCTAAACAATTTTAATTTACTTTTCTAAATTAAACTAAACTTCAACTGCAATTTTTTTTAGACATTTAATAAAACAGATATTGAACCATTTTCTTTTCCTAAGACGCTAATTATTTAACCTACTGGCGGTTCAGTAAATGGGCAAAATTGGTAGAATGTTTCTGCAGGTTAAAGTACAACTTTTTATGTGCAGAATCGTCAGTGGGTTAATACATAGTGTTTAATCAGTTAATTTTGAAAGTGTAATAAGTCCATTTAGAACTGAAATCGTTGGTTTCTTTTTTCGACTTTAATAATCGTTATTGCAATTATTTAACCTACTGGCAGTTTAGTAAATAGGCAAAATAGGTAGAATGTTTCTGCAGGTTAAAGTACAACTTTTTATTTGCAGAATCGTATGTGGGTTAATGCATAGTGTTTATTCAGTTAATTTTGAAAGTGTAATAAGTCCACTTAGAACTGAAATCGTTGGTTTCTTTTTTTCAACTTCAATAATCGACATTGCATTTTAAAGTTTAATTAAATTATAGTGTTAATTACAAACACCCAAATTGAATAACCTTTGCCAATATTTTTAAATTCATTTAAATGCTAAACTTAAATTATCGTGATATTGGAAGAATGCCTTATTTAATAACAGAGCAGTCTGAATTGTGTTTGTATTATGATTGACGATGATAGGTGATTGCATTATGAGTTTACATTACCCAATTGATTGTGTTGTATATTTAAAAAATCGTTTCCTCTAATGTAACTTAGAAAATATTATTTTTTTCTTAGTGACACATTGTCTGCTATTCAAGTTATTAAATTGGATAATGAAATGGATCACAAGTAAGAGTCTCTATTTTTTTTAAAAACATTTCAATCAGCTCTATATAGAATTAAAATGATTTATTTAAGAAAAATTATAATAAATAAAAGAATCTTATAAATAAAAAATGCATTAAAAAGCTTAAATTTTTGGAGAATTTAAATGAATGACTTGAAATAACTTGTTGAATATGATATATATGTAATATATATATTGTACATGTAATATATAAATTTTCTTTTTGAAGGCAGGAATCACACAGCCTAACATTTTCCGGGTCAGTTCATCAGTATATGGACAAAGAAAAGGCTAAGTCTAGTCAAGATCTCAGCGTTAATAACTTCACTTCGTATTCTACTCCCTGGCAGGAAACTCGCAAAGTTGCAAAGAAACCCTGTCGGAAACTTCCCGACGACTCTTTTTTAGAGAATCGCAGAGCAAGGTGTTATTTATCTTTCTTTAAATTTATCTTTTAATTTCTCTCTGTTGAAAATTAATAAGAATTAAGAGTTCTTACAAAATTTAGAGATAACATGTTTGTTTATTTTTTTAAATAATTCTATGCTAAAAAAATTGTCTGCCTTGTTTGTTTTGTGAATTTGCATTGCAATAACTTTATTTTATTTTATAACCGTCGTTGAACAGCCGACCTGATTTTGGGTTTACGACTACTAATGTTTAACTCCGTAGCTTATAATTTTGAACCAATCCAGAAGACAAGGAAACTCCTGGATCAGTACCCCCAGAGATATGATTTGTTATGGGAACATTGAGGACGGGCAAAGTGACCATTTATTGCACTGAGAGTGTTCGGGTGGCGAGGATTGAACCCATAACCTCTTCGACATGGGCCCAGTGCCCTACCAGCCAGGCTATCCCGGCCTTTTATTCCTTTTTTATTGTTGAGGACATTGCAAGTATAAAGCAAAATTAGAAGAGTTTGCTACTGACCAGTGGCGAATTAAAATAACAACCATAATAATAACAAATATAATTAAATAATAAAAGGCAATAACATTTTTTTAAACTATTAATAAAAAACTGTCAATTGTTTAAAAAAATTGTTATTGCTTTTTATAAATTGTTGATGTTATTAAAAATAAACTATTGATATTAGTAAGGTAAGGCATTTCGTTTGAAGAATTTCTAAATGTATGGTAAATACTATGAAAATGTAAAATATTTTGAGAAATATACCAATCATTTAAAAAATTTTAAAACATAAAATGATTATATATTAGTGGGATATTCTACATATTCTCTTGAATAGTTTTTAAAATACATCAAGAGGAGCAATTTTTAACGAAATTGTTTCTTATTCGACTTTATAACGGTGCTTTCGCTTTTTTGTTTTTTTATTAGCACTTAAATCTAGGATTTGATTTTCCATGTTATTTTCTCAAAATTGCTTTTAAAGGCAATATTCTATCCACATAGAATGGAATAATGTGTTCTAAGTTATTTTCATCTTTGTTTTCTGTATCAAATAAACCTCTTGGTTCTGAAAGCTCTAGATCACAAATGTCTAGATCTTCTAAATCCGAATAAAAAATATGTTTCTAACAAGGTTATTGCTCCATAACAAATTTGTCAAGGAATTAAATTGCATCACAAGGAATCTATTCAATACCACTGCTGGGAATACTTTGAAAAACCTCTTTGATGTTAAATTTCAACTTTAACATAGTCAAATAACACAAAAATGTATTACACTCCTTTGAAAGCCATCACCTTATCAGATAGAATTTCTTTTCATTTGTTGAAATTTCAACAAAAGCGAAAAACGCTAAAAATGGAATCCTTGAAACACCAATGTTCCAAAAATGAAACTTAATGTTTTAAACTAATATTTTGACTTTAAAATTGTAAAATAAAATTGAGAATTTAATGCCTAACAGATGATTATATTAAAAGTTTTTAAGTATTGTAGTCATTTTTTTTTACGAAAATTGGATTGTTGATAAATTATATAACAAAAATGAAAAATATTTACAAACTACATCAAATTTCTAAAATTCATTAAAAAATCAAATAATTATGGAAACAGAACCAAGCTGAATGCAAAAAATTCCTTTTATGTAAATTTTTAATGTATAAAAAATAATATTATTTAGACTTTATTGCCCATTACATTCAAACTCAAAACCTATGTTCTATTTTTAGAACATTGGCATGTAAACGGTTTAGGAAAATAATAAAATGGTCATAGAGACAACACAGAATTAAAAAAACAATAATTAAATGGGAGATGGCATGCAGTATTTTTATTGTTGCTAGTTAATTTTTGTCAATTAGCCGTTAATTTTCTCCTACAATTGCAAGCCATAATTATGATTTGTAATCTGTCTACATTACCATATTTTCTGTTCAAATAATAAGTGATTAAGTTTCCCTTTGATGAATGATTTCGAAAGGAATGATCAGATGTTTTTATGTTTCTAATTTAAAAGAATATTATCATTGCTATAGATGCAGGGTATCCGCGCACCTGGAAAGTAATGAAAAGTCATAGATTTAGATTGCCGAAAAATCTAATTTTTAAATTGGAATCCCCCCCTCCCCAATTTTATCTTGTTCCGAATGTCTGAATTCATAACAAAATCATCACTCACAGTCATATTTTATTCGAATATAAAATGTATTTATCATGTTCTTTAAAAATTATGGTATTCTTTCAATAAATTAAAGAAGATACATAATTTCTAGAGCGAATTAACTTTTAAACTTCTGTGATTTAAGAATTTTTATTATTTATTTTTTATTAATTTAAAATTCTAGCTAAAGCAAACCAGTCATTGGCAATTTTTTTTATTCCGAAATGAAAACAGAAAAATCAGGAGTATTTCTTTCCTTTCCATTAAACAAGAAAAGTATCTTTTGAATAAAATTCTGCCGAAGAAAAAGAAAAAAATTTATTTGCTTTTGTATTTTTTCCAGCTATTTTATTGTTTCTATTGCTCTCTTTTTTTACCCTGTTTTTTAAATTTAAAATCTATAAATATGAAGATGCATAGTATATCAGTTTTAGTTATACCTATCATTTCAATTAATGTTATTATAATGCTTTTTTAAATTTATTGTTGTGTTTTTGTCGCAGAAAATAGTAACTTCGTCTTGGAATTAGTCATGGAAAATCATGAAAAGTCATGAATTTGAAAATCTGAAATGTAGCAGATACCCTGTAGATGTCTCTTGGCTCATTATCATTTTACATTTTATTTTCTAGCACACAAATTGTTAAATTTAATTTATTAAATTTAATTATTAAATGTAATTGTGGAAAATAATATTAGAAATGAAAGACAGTGCTTTTTTATGAATCAATGATAAGTTGACAAAAATTTTGTCAAATACTACACACATCTATCAAAAGCAGAAATTTGGCATGTATCTATCTAATGGTAAAGCTTATAGTCATGCAAGTCGTATTTGTATTTTTTTTAAAAACCATTTTCAGCTATGAATTTTAATATTAATTAAAATTTTGCAGTTATGAAACTGATTTATTGGAATCTGTTGGTGAAATGAAAAATTCATATGGTCACCGTGCACCTGTTTTAAGTGGAATGTTTTCATCCTATGCACAAGAAGCTGATTATGACTACCCAATATCAACAGCTGAATTTCAGTACAGGCTTTCTGCAGCTACTGCTTTGGGAACTAGAACAGGAGAAGAGGCATTAACCTATCTCAATCAGGGTATTGTATTTATTTAAATACTTTTTACACCTTGTCTTCTCTTAATTAATAACTTTAATGACTTTCTTAATGTGTCTACCACTACAAAAATGCAATTCCAATTCACTAGTATGGAAGACATGTTAACTCGATTCTATGTTGGGGCGCCTTTTCATAGATGAATGTTGACATTTCGATAACCATCACCACATTGTTGACCTTCGGATGTAATGTGAACACGCCTACCTTGTCAGAAACTCCCACTTCATTTTGAACACGCCTACTAGGATAGATCGTCCACATTGGACAGTTGACTTGCTACTTGTGACTGTGACATTATCTACCTCCTCTCTCTATTGCTACTCAGTCTCGATTACCCACGTCGTCGGCCTGTATACAGTCTGCTAATGGCAACATAGGAGCGACCATGACCGTGAACTTAATATAGATCTCACGATTAGCACTCAAAAGTACGGTGAGCATAATACAGCTCTCCCGGCTTCTCACAAAACAGCAATGAATCAACTTGTGGTATACGTTCATCGAATTCTATCACAGATAAAATTCTGGTTTGGGAGTATTGTAGTGTATCTACCCCTACAAAAATATAATTCCAATTCACTAGTATTTAAGACATGTTGACTCAATTCTACGTTGGGATACCTTTTCATAGATGATTGTTGACATTGTCGATAACTACTATCCCCATAGTATGGAATATCTATATTTTGTATTTGTCTAAAAACAAGCATGGATGGTGTTTTCAATATAAATGTAAACAACAACATCAAGATCTTGACCTGCTGCACTTCCGGTTAGAAAGTATACAGCTGCTTATGACAGCTTATTTTATTAGGCGACATTTTCAAACAGATGATTTTGTTTTTAATAAAAGAAATAAGTTATGTAATAACTGAGCTCAAATCTGCTGTATTTCATGAAGATATTAATGATATTAAATAATTCTGGTGAGTTTGAAGTGAAAATTTGTTTCAGTTATTTAGAGATGTGTTGTTAAAAAAAGGTGACATGATTGCTAGATCTGGAAAAAACTTACTTTTTTGGCAGTTCTGATTATGCCTCTTTTTACTTGTTTATTACTGTTTGTTCTTGTTGTAAGCTGTGAACCATCATACTTTAGCATATTGTTCCTAAAATAAGATAAAGTTAAGTTTAATGACTTTCTTAATGTGCCTTTCTTAAAGATAAAGTAATAAGATAAGATAAAGTTTATTTTACAAAATTATCATTCAGGTTTAAATTTCGAAGTTTTTATATTGTTAGAAAGCTGAGAAGGGTTGTATAACGATTCTTACAGCTTGAAATGACAGGTCTTCAATTGACAATGTCTTAAAAATATCAACGTTCTTTCTCAAACTAATCTTTTTGTTTGGACATGATAGTGTTACATTTTTGCAGTATGACCCATATATATGCATATAATATAATTACTTGTTGCACATAAAAAAGAATCAGAACTTTACAGACAAACTTACCTTGTTTATTGATTAATATAACCTTGTCAAAAGTCTGGATATATATATATACCGTGTCTGGGATATATATGTATATACAGCGATACCAACTGTTCCAAATTCGACTAGACATTTTAAAAAGCAGTTAGAGAAGTATAAAGTGAAATGTCCAGATTTTCGGTTAAATTTGCCAAATTTTTAAAAGGCTCAACACGGTGTAACTGTAAAGTGGCTTATTATATATGCCTTTGAATTATTTAGAAATAGTGTTAAGTGAAATTCTTTAAATTGAGTTGATTAAGCCAAGATTCACGCATTAAAAACTACCACTCGAAAATATTTATTCGCTGTCCAGAGCAAGTTGATATCTCTGTATATATATATATTTATATATCGTGTCTGGGTTATATATATATCGTGTCTGGGAGATGTATATGTGAGGTAAAAGGTTGATAGTTTTGTAAGATAATTAAGTTAAATATTTAAAGATTACCATATTTATTTAAGTGTGCTAATTTTTTACTTTATTTTGTTGAACCTTAGATTTTTCTTCAAGAATCTTTTGAAAATTAGTTTTTCATCTTTGTTAGGACAATCCTACGAAATCCGTTTAAAGAAACTTCGAGGAATAGCTGATATGAAGGGAAAGTTACTAAAAGTAAGTTTTCTATTTAACGTACACACAAAACTAATTTTAACTTCAAATTATAGGTTCTTCTTTTACATTTCTTAATTAGACTAACTTGGATTAATAGAAGAAAACTGCTTTGTTTTTATTTTTTTCATTTGTATAATATGTTTGATTTTATTTATTGAAGAGGGCTCTTTTCTTGCAATTTTGAATTTTCGATCAAATGTTTGTTTTTCATTTTTCTGTTGCTATTTCCTTATGAAACGGACCAACTCTCATCCCCGTCATATCACAGATATTTTTGAAAATTTTTTGATGGACTAAAATAATTTATCTCAGTTTTTAGGTTCATAACTACTTTTGAAATTTTGACTCAATTTAACAAAATTATTTAACTAGGGAAGATGACTTACGTGTTCTTAATGTCTATAACTTTTTTTATTTATGAGCAGATTTTCTTAATTTTGGTGTCCATCAGACAGGAAGAAGTAAGAGTTTTATTTATTTATTTTTTGTTGCAATTATTAAGAATTTTTTTGCAGGTAAATCACAGCTTTATTCATGAATAAAAAAGTTATAAACGTTATGAATGTATGAGCTATATTCTCTAGCGATGCCATTTTGTTAAATTTAAACAAAGTTGAAAGCATCTTCATTATAGTCGGATTGGTCCAAAATATTTAGAGAAAAGAAGTACTTAATTTTTTTTTGGGGGGGGGGTCTGTACTTTTTCACAAAAAAATTTCATACAAATCTGTGATATGGTGAAAGTACAGTGAAGATTCATAATCAGTTTATTTTAGGAAATGAACTGAAAATGATTAAAAATATTTTACATTTCTGTGTCCAAATTCCTTTGACAGCTGAGTTTGGTTATGAGAGAAGAGGCCTTTATTTATTTCTATACCTTCTATGAGCTGTTTATAAAATATGTGTTCTTTCCTTTTATTTTATACATGACTATCAGACTTGTGGCGTTAAGGCTCCCGTTCTATCGGACTTAGTAAACAATTTAAATTTCAGGAACAGGCCATTTGTAAATTTTTCATGGTAGATTCAATAATTCAGAGGTCCAATGATTAAAATTTATCTGGCAATTATTGCGATTTCAATGTCAGAGCCCTACGACTCAGAGGATGGAGTGTTCACCCTCCGATGATGTGAACAGGGTTTGAATACCAGCGATGACTGGTCGATGCGAATTCCACACCCGTCTTGCACTGACCAAGGGGCTGACGTAAAATATCCTCACTGGTAGACGAATCTTGGGTTAGAGTCCCCTTGCCGCCAGGCTAACCGCTGGAGAATTTTGTGGTTTTCCTGTGTTTTGTGGTTATAAACTATGCAGACCTAAATATCCCGAAGCCCACAACATATTTTACGTTTCTGAAAAAAATAATTATAAAAAATTAAATAAACAAAAATTTAAAAAAGAGCAAAGCATGGTGTTCAGGTAAAAGGGAAGGGGAAAAAAAACATTTTTGAGAGGCTGCTATGATAGTCATGAACAGGGTAGAAGTTGGGCTTGAAAACACCTATGACGTTACAATAAATATTTTAATGAACTAATCTAATTTTAATTTTATAATCTAAACTGTTTTATATTAAAAATTAATTACCATAGTCTTCTCGTAATATTCACAAGTCGAAGGCTAATGTGCAACTGTACTAGATTAAGACAAAAAGTTAAAAGCAAAATTAGCCTCCTATATAACCCTACATTTCTATTTTTAAACTGTGATTATGATATTTTATTCCCTTATAGCTGTTTCTAAAAATCTATCTATTAGTAGCTCAATAGTCCAGGATGGACCCTGGCTTTCTCAGAAGACCCTCTGCGCACCACAGCCTTCCAGTTTCTGGCGTTAATTAAGACAAAGTCACTTTGGAAGCAGTCTGCCCACCTCAATTTGGGTCTGCTGCTCCTTCTAATTCCTATTGGCTTTGCCAGAAAGATTTTTTTCGTCGTTCGATCATCATTCATTCTTAAAATGTGTCCGCCCCATTTTATGCATTTGATCTTATGATACTTCAGAATGTCCGGTTTTCTGAATAAAGTTTCTGGAAATAGCAGTTAATAAACAAAACTGTAACACAATAATTTTTTAATTAATTGTTTATGATAAATATATTATTAATTAATAAATAAATTGTAAGTAAATTAATTAATAAATTGTTTCAAACAGTTTGTTGTATAAGTTTTATTGATGAATAATTCATAAATCTGTAACCTCTAATATGTGATAAATTCATTTTTAAGAAAGAAGAAGCAAAAATAAGTATGCAAATAAAGATATTAAAGAAAAAATTTCTGTAAATAAGGAAAAAAGAATCATAAAGTTAACAATAGTATAAAATTGAAGCTGAAAAGTAAATAAAACTTTGGAACCTTAGATGATTTTGATAATTTTTTTTAAAGAAATATTTTATATAATTTTAGACTTGCACTTAAATGTTTTTAGCACTGCAAATACTGGCCATTGAAATTCATTTTTTATATTTTAATTCTTTTAAAAAAAAAAACTCATTCTAGAGTGTCTTACAAGTAACTTTTCATGATCGAAGACTCCAGTTTCGTGAAAAGTTGGAAATACTTGCTTGGCAGAACCAAAGACCCTCGGAACGAATTCTGGACATAGGTATGTTACACTTCCCCTTCGATTTTATAAAATAAAAGTACAGCCTAAATGATAATTTCCAAAAAAAAGAAATGCTTATATATTTCAAAAATTATCATACTTTAAAAGACAAATTTTCATTTGTCGATTAACTTGTATTTTTCTCTTTCTCTCTATAATATACTTGAAAAGTTATTTTTTCTATTCAATAGTATTCTAATTGATAAAAATTATTATTGTAAATTGTTTTTTGAATAATAAATGGAAAGCAACTATTTAGAAATTTTTTTTTGCTCACTTTTCCTCCTATAGTCATAAAAAATATTAAAAATTTAATTTTTTTTTTATAACACTTAAATTGATTAGTTGTTAGGTTTAATCATAAAAGTTAACTCTTATTTGTTAGAGATGGATTTCAATTGCAGTAAATAATGATTAAAAAAAATTTTTTTGCTTATTAAAAAAATAAAATATATTTTGTGTGAATGTAAAACAAAATGTTTGCTTTCCTCAGACATATATTGTTTTGCAATTAATTTCGTTGCATAATCCATTTTTAAAAATGGTAATTTATAATAGATTAAGTTTATTATTTAATTCATTTTTAAGGTGTGGTCCAATCCCATATTATTTTTGGCATTCTTATGAAATGACCCAGATTTTTTTTACACATCATTTTCTTACAAAAAGATTTGAGGAACTAGTTAATTCTGATCTGATAATAAAATTCAATGTGAAAAATTGATGAAGGTTAAATGTTAGCTAGTTTTATATAAATTAATGTTTTATTTTTTGTGTTTATGGATAGTTTTTTGCATTCTTTTTTCATTGTTGGCATGTATTGTTAATGGCATCAGATAATTACGATTTGTTTTCAATATTCAAGTACAATTTAATTTAAAAAAGAAATGGTGAGTGTACTTGAAATATGCATATCAATTTTTCAAATATGTGTGCATATATAAGTTAAAAATACAGAGAAAACAAAAATATATAAATATTTTTACAGAAGAGGAGAAAAATTGTTTAGGAAATTGTTTTTAAAATTTTTGTTTAAGAATTTTAAAAAAATTTAAAAAGCCGGAAAGCAGAATAAGATAAAGATCATCATCAGCTTACATCGCAAAAAGAGTGCTTTCTAATATTGTATTAATACTGCCAAAGCAAAATATATCAATACATTAGTTCAGCACCAGAAAAATTGAAATGAAAATAGAAATAGCAAAAATGTTTTTTTTTGTATCTTTTAGTTAGTAAGTTTTATTTCGGTTTCAATTTTTTTATGCTCCTAACACTATTATATGGATATATTTTTCTTTGTCTATATTGATACAGCATTAGAAAGTACTTTTTTTTTTTATTTTACGGATATAATCGTGTAAACTGACGACGAGTTTACATCTTTTCTTCATTTTATTTTCCGGCTTAAAAAAATATATAATTTTAATTACAATAATTTTTAAAAAACATTTCATTTAATAATTTTTCTTTACAAATGTTTTTTCTTGCCTTCTTTGTGTTTTTAACTTATTTGTACAGTGAAGATTCATAATCAGTANAGTGCTTTTTAATATTGTATTAATACTGCCAAAGCAAAATATATCAATACATTAGTTCAGCACCAGAAAAATTGAAATGAAAATAGAAATAGCAAAAATGTTTTTTTTTGTATCTTTTAGTTAGTAAGTTTTATTTCGGTTTCAATTTTTTTATGCTCCTAACACTATTATATGGATATATTTTTCTTTGTCTATATTGATACAGCATTAGAAAGTACTCTTTTTTTTTTTTTTACGGATATAATCATGTAAACTGACGACGAGTTTACATCTTTTCTTCATTTATTTTCCGTCTTAAAAAAATATATATTTTTAATTACAATAATTTTTAAAAAACATTTCATTTAATAATTTTTCTTTACAAATGTTTTTTCTTGCCTTCTTTGTGTTTTTAACTTATTTTATGGGTTATATGTACTTATGTGCAGTAAATAAGACTTATTATTTTTTCTTAATTTTTTTCATTAATCTCTCTTTTGTCTCTCTCTCTCTCTATATATATATATGTACAACAAGATAAATAAATATAAAAAAAACACGAAGAAAATTAAGAAAAACAATAAGTATCATTTATTATTTTATTTTCTGTTTTTACTTTTTGTGTTCTATTTTATTTGTTGTAATTTTTGTAAAATAAAATTTTTAGTGCTCCTCACGCTATTGTATTAATATATTTTGCTTTGGCTATATTGATACAATATCAGAAAGCACTCTTTTTTGGGAATATAATCGTGTGGGCTGATGAAAAGATTATATCTTTTATTTTCCGGATTTTTTAAAAAAATTTTATCCTTTTTTTTCCCCCAGTTGTTTGTTATATTTTATTATTTTTTTCTCCCCCCTTTTTTTTCTTCATATGTCTGTAATTTTCCTTTGTTTTATCTTCATTTTGAACATTTATATATATATATATATATATATATGTGTGTGTATTTGCTCAGAATTTCAGTTAATTTATACCATTTGTTTCAATTTATATAAATTTTTCTTTATTATGTTTGTTTTGCCTTTTTTAACAGTTTTTGAATTTTTATTCTTAAAAAAAGAACTTATTACTTTTAAATTTTAACATGATTTTTTATTCAGACTTGTTATTATTATTATTTAGACTTATCCTTATCGTATGGTATATTTGATGTTATACCTGATCCTAAAAATATTAACTGTGTGGAATTCATGTGGGACCCAACACGAGAAGCTTCTGTTTTTCTGAAGGTATTAATTGCTGTTGGTTTTTTATCTCTGGATAAACTTCATACAAATTTCTGACATGCCGCTGCATAAATCCGCTTTTTTTTCTGAAGGTATTAATTGCTGTTGATTTTTTTATCTCTGGATAAGCTTCATACAAATTCTGACACGCTGCCGCATGATTCTGCTTTTTTTCGTCATAAACTTAACAATTTTAAAAATCTGATATCTTTAACTGAGGGACCATCCACAAATTGTGCAAAAGTAATTGAAGTATTTTATTGATTTTATTGGATATATTGTTTCTATATTTTTATGGCTCTTGTTTTATGTTACAGTAAAATTAGAAAAATGTAATTTTCTCATCGAGAAATTTCATGAGAGTGAATCGAGGATCACATGCTTATTACTAATTTTAGAAGATGAGATCAAATTTTGTATGATAAATCTAAGTTATTTCAAACATTTTAATTGTTGTCTTTTTTCAGTTTGTTTATTTGAAAGGATTTTTATCCTATTAACAATTAAATATACAAACAAATAAATTAAATATATTTTTGAAATTGATAAACTAATGCATCATTTACAAATTGATTTTTTTTTAAAAATTTAATCTTCATCAAAACAAATGAACTTTAATTAAAATATTGAACCGAATTTCAATTTTTAAAAGAAATGTTCAGATTGGCTTTTAGTAAGAAATTATAGCAATTGAGACTTTTATGAAAAAAATGGTATTTTGAAATTACTAAATAAAAGAATCTTATAATTAAGTGAATTTACTCAATATGTTTGTAAAAACTATTTTTTATTTAAATGATAATTTATTTTTATAATAATTCATTAAATTATAGTTTTTGATTACAGGTTAATTCATAATTTTAAAAGCCTGTTTCTGAAATTTGGTAATTCAGGTTCTCTTCCGAAACTGCCGTGGCATGTCTGAAATTTCGTTATCAATATGTAATCTGTATTTTCAGAATAAACGTAACTTAAATTTAAATTACTTTATTAAAAGTTTGGTTCCATGAAACTTACCCCTATAATTGTTTATATCCAAATTTAAAATCTACAGTATTTTTTTAATGTGGGTATTTTAGGATTATTTATTGTTGAAAAAAATTATTTATTGTCTATCTGAAATAACTGTTTTCAAATTATATTTTGCATTTCTTTTTCATTCTAATGCTAGGAGTCTTTCAAAAATATTGTGGTAACTTTTGATGCTTTTTGTTCACTTTTTCTCTTTCATTTCTAGTTGCAGTTGTGGTGCAAGAATGGATTACAAAATGATGTATTAATTTATTATTTTTTCTTAAAAGATTACGCAAAAACTATTTTTGTCTGTTTATATAGGTTATAAAAAAATTGTTCAACCGAATGTACTAAAAATAAACTTTAAAAAATGGCATGATTATTGCATTTTTTAGCTATTGAGTTAGAGAATATATTTGTGACTACCAAAGTATATTAATAGTTTAAAGGTTTCCTATATTGGTACCGATTTATAAATACGTAAAGTGGGAGCTAAAGCTATTTATTTTTTCTGTCGAAGTACTCCACATTCTGTTAATAATTCAATTATTTTGAACATGTTTGTAAAAATTAGTTTTAATAATTATGATACAAATTATTAAATTCTTGGTATTAATAGACTATTTTTGTTGAGTAAACAATATTGCAAGTTATAGTAGAAGGAGATTTTTGATTTAAAAAGAAATTTCCACCTGTTGTATAACGCCAAACAAAATAACAACATTCAAAAATTAATTTTTTTTTTCTTTTGAAAAAAGGAGCTTATCCTAAAACTAGATGTTCTAATTTACATCAGAATGTTATATTTTCAGGTGAATTGTATTAGTACAGAATTCACATACAAACGGAATATTGTTTACTGCAACATTGTTTACTCAGCAAAAATAATGCATTAATTCTCATTATTAATTAATTATTTTTGCTGAGTACACAATGTTGCAAGTTTTAGTAGAATGAGATTTTTGTTCAAATTTTTTTTCTCCACCCAATGCATAACGCTAAAGAAATGACAATATTCAAAAATCAAATTTTTTTTTATAAAGAAAAGGAGCTTATCCTAAAATTAAATATTCTAAGTATTATATTTTCAGGTGAACTGTATTAGTACAGAATTCACATGTAAACGGAGAGGTGGAGAGAAAGGAGTACCTTTTCGCATTCTCATAGAGACATACAGCCATTGGGAAAATCCACAATGCCTCTTAGATGCTGCATCCTGTCTTGTAAAAGTATTTAAAGTATGTTCACTTCTTTAATTTGGAATGATGTCATAAACTAACACTTTTAGACCTACCGCTTTTCCAAGTTCAGAACCACCAGTTCATGTCCACTTGTTCTTAACCCTTAGTATTGAAATGGTGTCAAACCAGGGGTCTGTTTAGAAAAAATTTGGGTCCGTTAACGGACCCTTCACAAAATATCTTTTCATAAAATCGGGCCCTTCACAAAATATTTTAACTTAAAAACGGACCCCTCACTAAATAATTTATCTTTTAATTAGACCCTTCACAAATTTGTTTATCTTCACTATTGTTTTGTTAATTGAATAAACCCTTCCCAGGGGGTTGGGGAGGGGAAAGAAAGACTAAGTAAGCGAACTAAATTTTGTCTTCGGCAAACGCTTCTTCCTATATTCGTCTGAAATTAATATTCTCCGTTCAGCAGTATAGGCTAAATACCAAATATTTGTACGTTGCATCTCTAATTTAGTAGCAGCAATTGCTGTTTATTTTTTTAAATGTAATTTTTTTTAATTATAATTTTACAGTGCTGAGCATTCTTGTATCTCTTTCGTTTCTTGTATCTCTTTACTATTTAAAAACTCCTTGAAAAAGTTTTTTGCAATAACGGGACCCTATTTGCACAAAGTCACAAAAGCAGGACCCTGATTGAAAGAATGTGAGTTAGCGTTTATTTTATATATTCACAAATTACTAGTAATTTTTTCACAATTTTACAAAAACAGACCTTTCACGAAATGTCTGGACAGACCCCTGCAAACTAATGCAACTTGGCTCCCAATTCCTCTTTGTTCCTGTGGCTACTCCGAAACAAGTTTTTTTTCAGTGTTTAAATCGTTCATTCTATCCCAAAGAGTGTTTTTTTTTTCAATGGAGGGCACTTGGGTCTATTTCTCATTGGTCTCAGAAATAACAGAATTGCTGCTCTCGTATCGTTACCCAGTGGGCACCTGTCCACATACCGTCGCCCACGTCATGCAACCACAAACTCGTTTATAGGTCTGGTTACATTCACACAGAAGAAAAGACATAGAACGCAGAGAGAAAGTTACATCCATGCCTACAGTGGGATTCAAACCCACGACCACTCGCCCTGCACTCCAGTACGGTAATCACTAGACCAGTGATTGGAGATCGAAAAAATAATAAGCAGCCTATTAATCTTGATAAATTTTTTAATATTTGAGTCCTTTAAGCATTTATAAACTTCTGTGTTATAATAAAAGAAATGATAAGGACCTGATAAAGTTGATGAACCTTGATTCATCGTTCCTGCATCTCATGTTTTCCCATGTATATCATCTTGTTTTAAGGTTCCTGTCACAAATGCTATTCTTAAATTGTTAACAATACCCATTTAAATAGTTTTTAAAGCTTGCCCACCTCTATCATTCAGAAATTCTATTTGCATTAAAAAAAATATATTAAAGTTATTGAAAAGAAAAACAAGCAATTCCTGATGCTAATGATAAAAAAGAAAGTGGGGATTTGTTACAGTTTGTGTAAAATGTTTGATATTTATGCATCAGTTGATCCATTTATGAGAATGCTAAAAACATTGTAGCGTTTTCGGTTCAAGAAATTGTTGTAGAAGTGCAAAGTGGAACCACAACAAGTTTGAATGTTTGTGGAAGGCCAAAAAGCTTTATAAACGTTTGGGAACTTTTTGTATTCATACTAATTTATGAGAATGCTAAAAACATTGTAGCGTTTTCGGTTCAAGAAATTGTTGTAGAAGTGCAAAGTGGAACCACAACAAGTTTGAATGTTTGTGGAAGGCCAAGAAGCTTTATAAACGTTTGGGAACTTTTTGTATTCATACTAATTTACAGATACGAACTGTTACAAATGTCAAACATTTATTGTTTGCTCAAAGAGAACACTCATACCAAAATTTTTAAATTTATAAATTAGTTGAGAACTTTTTTTTTGTATTGTAAATAATTTTGCATTAGGTAATTAACTTTATAATTTTGCAAATTTATTTATTTTCGAAAGCATTTCTTTTTATGCATTTTTCAAGTCGTCGTATGATATCTTATGTTAACCCGCATTTGTCATTCTCAATGAGTGCTCTCATGTGAAACGATGGATCAGTGTTCTACCGTGTGGTACAATACAGGTTTTATTGTACTACTTTTTTTTATAAAAGTATTTCAATGTTATGGAAACATTCTAAACACAAAAGAAAAGTTTGTTATTAAATTGTTAGTAACTGTTTTATCTTTAACAGTCTAAAGGAGCTGATAGGAAACACAAAACAGACAGAGATAAATATGAAAAACTTCCACAATCTGAGCAGGTATGTTCCATTGCTGTATTATGAAAGAAACCTAACTTCGTATATGTAATAACTAATTTTCTGCGCTGCTCCTCAGTAAAGAGCCAAGCAAATCTGTTTTAAACTATTGAAAAGTTTTCTTTTCGATGTGTCTCAAATGTGTTTAATTTGTATTCTGTAATGCAGAATACAGTAATGGGGAATTTTTAAAATACTGTAATCTTTAAATTTTTCAAAAAAATAGTGTTTACAAATTTAAAAGAACAAACTAAAAAATACTTAAGTTTATTGTCTGCTTAAGAGTTTACACCTCTAAGTAATGAAGTGAACTACAGCAAAGTCTTTTTTTTATTCTACTCAATTTAAAAAATTCAAAAGTTTTTTATAGACCATTTTCAAAATAATTCATAAAACATATGCATTGCCATTGTTAAGTTTTGTTATTATACATAGTGCATAACGTTTTTAAAAAGAGCTTATTTTTGGTTTTTAAAAACCCTTAAAGGTTTTTTGTCGAGTGTTTTTGAAAAGTGCTTAATTTTCACTTTTCAAAAATTTGATTTTTTTCTGTACCGTGTAAATTTTCGTAACATATTTTGAAAAAGTGTGGTTTTCACATTGTTCTATTTAGCGCTTTCACAATCATTTTACAGGTTTGGTGAAATACTTGCGAGTCCGCATGTGCGTATAGTGAGCTGGGTGCAGTGAGATTATTGCACTCATGTGCAACTCTGCTGCATTTTGCAAGATATTTTCAATCGATTTCAAGCTTCATTTTCCACCCTCTGAAATCAAACCAAAAAATCTCTTAATCATATTTTAATGGCTAATATAATCAAGGAAAGGGTTCTTTGTCAGAAACTAGTTATTTTATCATGATCATGTAAAGTCTTTGAAAATTATTTTGCATTTTGTTAATGTATATAGTGCTTAAAAATATTTCTTGAGTGCTTAAAAAGTACTTAAAAGGTGCTTATTTTTTGTTGGAAGATTTGGCTATGCACCCTGTTATAATTTTATGTTTGAAGCTATAGTATGTCATGGGTATACCTATAAAAGATGGGACCAATTTTTACTTATCAAAGCTGAAATTATGGTTTATCTTAATTAGATAAAATAGTTATTATATTGACGCCCGCTGGCTGAGCGGTAGCGCTTCACGCTGTCGTGCCACAGGTCCCTGGTTCGATCCTCGGCCTGGGCAAGGTTGACTCAGCCTTCCATCCCTTCAGTGGGTCGATAAATGAGTATCAAGCATGCTTGGGAACTAAACACTGGGGGTTCCGCGGTCGGCTGACCACCTGACCGGAACATCTGCTCCTGCACCCCAGAGCCCAAGGTCAAGAAAACTGAGATGGGCACAGTTGGCCCTGGCCCTCTAGGGCTGTCACGCCACTGAGTTTAGTTATTACATTATTAACTCAAGTTCATTATTGTTTGTTTCTTTTTTAGCGCGACCTTCAACCCTCTTATCAGTACACATTATTCACTGCTGTAAGTCAATTTTTGTTATTTTCAATTTGTTTGTTTATCTAACTAAAACTCACACTGATATTTATTGTTTTCAGAGTCCCCTGAAAGCTGAAAACAAATCGGATTCTGGTAGCAACTCACCATCTCCTTTGCAATATACCTACATTAAACCCCAGTCACCCTTAGTATCAACCACTGAAGTGTAAGTTATCTTTGAGATACTTCCGATAGAAAATCCCGGTTATTTTGGTACAAACATTGTTTAGGAAAGTATTTAAAAATTAACAATCAAAACCATAAAGGGTTGAGAATTGGTTACAAAACTGTGACCGGAAACTGAGGTCAGTTATTGAACCTTTATTTTTTATTTGTATACATTATCTTGATTTTATGTTTTGTAAGGATTATTATCAAAAATTTTCAAATAGGCCCTTGCCTTCCAATGAAGTGACCCAATTGGTCAATACAAATTTTCCTCCTGACTTGCACAAACCATAGATATCCTCAATAATAGATAGACCATTGATTAGAGTCCCCTTGCTGTCAGGCTAGCCATGAGAGGCTTTCCTGTCCATGTAGCGCAAATATTAGTAGTTCATTCAAAGAGTAATCTTAATTCTTGATCCAGCAGCTCTTTTGTCTTTTGACGTGTTTAAAATTATAAGTTTAACAGCTACTATTAATAATATATTTTTGACAATTTTGGACACAAAAATGAGCAACTTACTATCCCCCTACCATACTTACAAAAGAACATTTTAAAAACTCATGTTGTTTTTTGCATTAACTTTCAGGGTGCGTAGCGTTTGTAAAAAGTACTTAAAGGTGCTTTTTTGGGGATTTCATTTTTAAAAGCTTTTAAAGGTGCTTTTTTCAGCAAGCGTTTTTAAAGAGTGCTTTTTTTCCCCCTTCAGTGATATCTGGTGGATCCCATGCATTTCACGAAAAATGGGGAGTGCGCTACGTAATCATTCACGCGGACTTCATGTCGTATCCACGTTATGACTTGCGCATGCGCGCACACTTGAGACCGAAACCCGANCTTCTGTTTTCTCTTTTGTTTGTTCCTGTTTATTTTATTTTACTTCTAACACTTTTTTTGACGTAGGGGGTAAGGGTACTTTTGTTCAGGGTCAAGTTGAATTCTCTCGGTGATGTGGGAAAGTACTGATTGTTTCGCTTTACGCCCGTTTCTTTTTGGGTTTTTTTTAACGCTAAAACTGTTTATAAAAGGCTTTTGTTTTTCAATAATATCATTGATTGAATATGAATTTTTTGAGTGCTTGAAAATTTTTGTAAAGTGCTTGAGAAGTTTTTAAAAAGTGCTTATTTTTGATTCAAAGATTTGGCTATGCACCCTGACTTTGTTGTTTATTGTAGTAATCTAATTTTAGGTGTAAACTAAAATGAAAGATATGACTTGGTACAAAAAAATGTACATTTTCATTCATGTTATTCGTGATCACAACGCTCGAATACGCCATCTGGGGGGGAAGACTTGATCACAAATATTTGATAATTTCCTGGCATTTATTAAATCACTGTCAAATAAAGCATAGAGTCTGAAAGTTAAAAGAACGAATTTGTAAAAAGCGCTTTAGAATAAAAAAAGACTATTTCATGTAAACATGAATTAAAACTTCTTAATATCTCCTCATATTTAACAAAGCCAATTTTTTTTATTCAAAATCATTTTGAATATTAATGAAAATTGATTTCTCCTGTTAAGTTTGTCTTTTAAAAGTAGTGAAGTAATGATTACATTTCGAAAGTAGTTTGTAGTCATTGCATTTAAAAAAAAAAATAGTTGTAGTTAACTACAAAGGAAATTAAGTTTATCCAACCACTGGTCGTAAGCATTCTGTTACTCGAGTCGATTTTCCTTAGAAACTGAAGATGTTTAAAATTGCCATTGAATTTTTAAACAACATGTTCTGAAAAACTTTGTAAAAATTTTGAAAATATGTATGTGATATAACACAATTGGTTTTCGCCACCCATCGGTACTGTTTTTGCCATTTCTATTGTAGTCTGGATCTTACGATAATCTTTATTTTCCCCTCCTATTACAGATCAACCTCTACACCATCTGTCACTTCCAGCCCACAACATTCGAGTGATATCAAAGATTGTGATGATGTAACTTTTCATTTTCTTTCTTTTTTCCATTTATATTTTTAAAAATGTGTACAGGGTAATTCAAAATGAATATAGCGATTACAAGCGGCTATAACTATTTAATGAAAAATAATTTATCGATAAAATTTACGCAGAATGAAGAAGGAACTTCAACATTTTTTGTACATGCATCACGACGGATCATGGGTTAGAGTCCCCTTGCTGTCAGGGTAACCTTGGGAAGTTCTCATGGTCTTCCTCTCTATGTAACCAAAATGCTGGTTAGTTCAATCAAAACGTCCTCCATGAAGGCTAGTTTGTCCCAATACTTGATCCAGGAATTCCCTTGTCTTCTAGATTGGGTTCAAAATTACAAGGCTACGTAGTTGAACACAGGTAGTCGTAAACTCGAAAATTGGGTCGACTGCTGTTCAACGACGGTTATAATTATAATACATCACAGATTTTCTGCTTGATTTCAATTAGTCACACGGACAACATCTAGGCGGTAGTCCATTTCACGCCATGCATTCTAAAGCATAGGTGCAGTCACCGGCGCAAGTGCTACTTTTTACTTTGCATAAACATCCCGTCTCTTCAAACATCCTATACGATCTGCGTATGTTGTTCCCATTTAGATGTTATTGATTGTAACTCTGACAAAATCTTCTCTGCACTGTGATAATGGAACGAAAATTGTTATATTCTAACAACGCAGAGTGCACGGTACTCGCCATTTTCAATAATGAGGTCTCATATACGCAGTATTCTGCTTCACTGTGCCTTACATAAAGAAACTTTGAAGTTCCACCTACATTCTTTGTTAAGCTTATAGATATTTCTTTCTCATTAAATAGTTATGGCTCTTTGTATGGCTTAATCAGTATATTCACTTTAAATTACCCTGTATTATAAGTACAGTTTCTTATTTGTATATATCATTAACTGTACTACAGAATTAAAGTTGTCTATTTTCAAAATACATGCTGTAGTCACTGTATTTTGCAAAGAAAAATTTCATGTAGTAATTTTTATAAATTTTGCTAATTTCATATTTTTTTCCTGTTAGTTCAAATGTATATAAGTATAGTTTCTTAAATACGTTTATAAGTATAGTTATAAGTAACGCTTATACATATAGTTTCTTATTAGTATATATCATTAACTGAGCTTAAAGAATTACATTTGTCTATTTTCAAAATACGAGCTGTAGTCACTGAATTAAATTTTTAACAGAAATTTCATGTAGTAATTTCTATAAATTTAACTCATTTCAAATTTTTTCTATTAGTTCAAACATATATAAGTATTTTTTCTGAAATACGTTTATAAGTATAGTTATAAGCGTTTATAATTATAATTTCTTATTAGTATTTATCGTTAAGTATACTTACAGATTTAAATTTGTCTATTTTCAAAATACATGCTGTAGTCACTGAATTAAATTTTGCACATAAATTTCATGTAGTAATTTTTTTATAAATTTTACTCATTTCACATTTTTCCTGTCCATGATTTCATCTCTTTCATAAAGTGCGCAATTAGGACTCGTGAAAATGGCAATTCGGCGAAGGTGGTTCGCCAGGCAGCCATGGCCAACCGAGAGTCTGAATTCCGTTACAGCCTTTTCACGGGGCTTATCTAGAATATTGTGGTCAAAACTTTTCCTCCAACTTCTTGAAGAAACACGAGAAGTGAGCAAGGCTTTCCATTTTTGTCTTATCAAATTTTTGATACTATGTTTTGGGGAATGGAAAGAGCTAGAAGTGTTTGACTGTTGAATCACTTGAGTGCACTTCTTGGCCAACGTATCTGCTTGTTTGTTGCCGTAAATATTGCAGTGTCCTGGAATCCATTGGAGTGTGATTTGTCGTCCCTCAACTTCTCCAGAAGAACTCAACAATCTGAGACATTTTTAGAGATGGGTATTTCTTAAGATCCGAAGCATGTATGGCAGGTTTGGAATCGGATTCCAAAATGTTCTTTATTAGTTTTATCATGGTGCATAGCATTTTTAAAAAGTGTTTAAAGGTGCTTATTTTTGATTTTCGTTTTTTAAAAGCCCTTAAAGGTGATTTTGTCATTGGGTGCTTTTAAAGAGTACTTAATTTCCTTTTCGAAAATGAGATTTTTTTCATTGCCATGTCGATTTTGGCCATGTATTATTCAGAAGTGTCATTCATATTGTTCTATTCAATCGCAATTCATACAACCACAATCTATTTTGGCGTCCCGTCGTTCCATAGCGTATGAAAGCATTAATCATTTTACATGTTTGATGAAATACTTGCGTGTCCCCATATGCATATACTGCGCTGGGTTCATTGAGATTATTGCACTCTCATATGCAACTCTGCTGCATTTTGTAAGATATTCTCAATTTCAGGCTTCATTTTCCATCCTCTGATATAGAACCAAAAAAACCTCTTGATCTTTTTATAATGGCTCATATAATCAAGAAAAGATTTCTTTTTTTAGAAAGTGGTTATTTTATCATGATCATATAAAGTCAGAAAATTATTGCATTTTGTTAATGTATATAGCTCTTAAAAATATTTTTTGAGTGCTTAAAAGGTGCATATTTTTTGTTGAAAGATTTGGCTACGCACCCTGTTTATGAGTAATAATTTAGAGTAGAATATCTTATTGCTTTCAATTTTGATTTTATTTATTTAGAATATAAAGTATAATGCTAAAAAATTGCAGTAATGTTTTATAGCAGCTAACTGAGCAGAGGCTTGTGGTTGATTTTTATAATTTGGAATTCATTAAAAAATAATATTTTAATTTTTTGAAGAATTAAGTTGCAACTTCTATAGTTGATAACTTGTATTTTGATATTTTCTACTCTTTCAAAACTATACTATTTGTTTTGCCAGGTTTTATCTTCGTATCCAGATGTGCCGTCTTCTCCCCCGCAGATAGAGGAAGACTATTTCAACTTGACTATGAGTCCTGATCAAGTTAGAAACTGGTTTCACAAAAAGAAATTTAACAAATTTTTACAATGCTTCGCATTATATTCAGGTTAGTTGATTTGAATGATTTTAAAATGTTGGGAATATAAAATTAATTTTAAATAACTTTCTAGGATAAATTAATAATAATATTTAAAAAAATCAAAGAAAACCCATACATAATTCTTGCGCATTTTTTTTCTTGAAGACTATGATATCTATATATGATTAACTGTTTAAATATTAAAAGAAATTGTAAAAAGTGGGAACCTGGTACACTAGACTGTAACATACAGTTAACAGTTATTGATTTGAGCATAGATGTTGCATGAGGGGTTGCACACTTTTTTTTTTTAAAAAACTGTTCATTTATTTTTAAGTTTTATGTATATAAGCATTTATATTTTTTATATGAATGTATATTTATACATAAATGTATCTATAGAAAACAGTTTTCTAAAAATAAAAAGTGTACCCCCCTCACATTACATCAATGAGAAAATGCAGCTAAAAAGGAAGAAAAAGTGAATTAAAACTAGTTGGAACACAAAAGATTGAAAAAAGAAAAGAAAGGATAAGAAAATGGACAAAAAATTAGTACTATGTTATTAAGTGCTTTCAAGCAGCAGTTGAGAATCGTGTTTTTTAATTAATATTTTATCTTTATCTATAAAAATATTTGCATTATCTATACAATACAGAATTTTTTTTCTTCTTATAAAAAACGTTTTTTTTTTTTCAACTTAAAGGGGTAAAACAATATTTAACATTGAGTACCTAAAGGTGGAAAAAAAGAAAACTAATGTGCTTATAAAAAGTCACTTTTAATCTATCATTTCAAAACAAATTTCAAAAAAAGATGGCAAAGACTTATATTCGAAAAAAATAGTTGATATTTTTTCAGGAATTAAATATTTATAGAAGAAGTTAGAGTATAAAAGTTAGTTCAAGTTAGAAGTTTTTCCAGGCATTTTGTTTTATCAAAATGTAAGGAAATCTAGATTCATTTATTAATTAATGTGCTTTATTTACGCATTTAGCTAAAGAATTGCTCTGCTTAAGCAGGGAAGATATCATTGAGATATGTGGTCCTGCTGAAGGCATCAGATTATACAACTGCTTCCATATTCGGTGAGTTATGTAAATTACGTTAATCATAGCTGTTGATAAACAATTAAAATTACTCACTCTGTTTATTATTTGCCGGTTAGAAAGTGCTGAAGTTTTGAAACTATTTAAAAATAAATATCCTTTTTTCCAATTTTAACATCTAAAAATGTTTTTGGAGTATTAAGAACTAATTAATTATTATGTTAATTATTGCGATTAGTATTTTATTTAATTGAAAAAGGAGCGCATTCTTTTGCTAGTTCAAATATATTCAATATAATTTAATTGATCTTATATTACAGGGGTGGCCAAGCTCCTTTTTAGTCGAGCCATTTTTACAAATTTGAAATTTTTCGCTAGTTGCAATTAAATACATATTTAAAAGGTATTAAAATTAATTTTTTTTACATAAATTATATTTATTGAAAACATATTTAAAAAAAAGTAAAAGTACAAAATATGTGTATTGAATTTAAATATTAAAAATTAAACACATTTATTTATTTCTCTTGATAATTCTTTAAAATTTGGTGAATAATTGGTGACAGCACTTCTCAGTAATTCTTTGAGATGCTGGTTAGTTAATACTGATAGGTGTTTGGATTTCACGAATTTTAAAGTGGAATAAAATGATTCACATAAGTACGTTGTTCCGAGTATTGAAATAATTCGACAGGCAGCCTTTTTTAATTCAGGATACTTCGATTCTGGTACAAATTTCCAAAATTCAGTAATCGACGTCGACTTATATTTTCATTGTAGAGCTTGATCTTTTCTTGCATCTCTATTAATTCTAATTCTCCAGATGCTTTTTGTGTCATAATTATATTAGAAATGGAAAACTCACCTTTAATTGAACAACATTGCACTTAATCTTTCATATTTGTTCTCAATAATTTAAAAGACATTTTGAAACACATACAGAATGATAATAATTTTTTTAAATATAATAGCACAAAAATGAAAAAGGAACTCTGGTATATTTATCAAATAATCCTTCAAAGAGCCGTATGTGGCTCGCGAGCCACAGGTTAGCCACCCCTGTTATATTACAATGGAATGATAATATTTCTGCTTTTTTTTTTTTTTTTTTTTTNTTTTTTTTTTTTTTTTTTTTTGCCTAGTTGAATAAATTCTTGTGGTTATTCTTAATTTTAATTATCTAAAAAAATGTATTCAAAGTATTAAAAACTAGTTAAATACTTAAATAATAGTTTTGGCAATCAAATTTATCTTGAGTGAAATGTAAGATTGAAATTGCAGAAATGAAGTCAATAGATGAAAGCCAGTAGATTTTTTCTTCTTTTTAATTTCTTAGAGATTTTAAAGTAACTTCTGTGTTCTCCCTAAGGGCGAGCAGGGTAGACCGCTCTGCATGCCCTCTGATCCCAATAGATTTGCCTTTTTTGTAAAAGTATAACCACCATCCCTTCAAACATTTCCTTTTTTATTCAGGTTCCAGTTTTAAAAAAATTATTCACGACTTCTAAATAATAATTACACCCTGGTAAAATTATCTGTGTTTATAGGTTTAATTCTGATTACTATTACAAATATATACTTTGCTAGAATTATTCCCAACTCATTAAAGTTTTATAAGTATGTTTAATCAGGGGGTGATATTAATAAATTTTTTAAGTGATTTTGAATTTTAAAACTATTTTTTTTAAAATAAATGTTTAAACCAGGTTATTCTGCTCCAAGACCGTAATTTAATTGTGTAACCAATTTTTACATTTATCAGGGTTCCCACGGTCCTTGAGAGTCCTTGAACTTTTTTTGCTAAATTTAGGTCCTTGAAAGTGCTTGAAAAACGTCTTAGGTCCTTGAAAAACTTGATAGGTCCTTGAATTTGTCCAATACTGCCGGCGGCCCTTTTTATAAAACACCCGCGGATCTTTCTCGTTCTTTCTGTTTTGTTCCCGAGCTCTCTCACGTGGTTTTTAACGCCACCATTTCTAACCTGGCCTAGCGTCTTGGTGTCTGCCAAGCGCGCGGACCACAGCAGACAATCAATGCGTTCGGGGCGAGACTCCACTTCATCTTCTGTCGCATATGCTTAGATCTTCTTTTTTCTTATCGAAACTGGAATACTCTCGAATTTCGTAACAATA